AACCCACGTACCAGTGAACAAAGGCACACTTGGCATACATCAGATCAAACTTGTGGTCCAGGCGAGCCCAGGCCTCAGCAATGGCTGTGGTGTTGCTCAGCATGCACACAGCTCGCTGCACCTTGGCCAGGTCTCCACCAGGCACCACAGTGGGTTGTTGGTAATTAATACCAACATTTAAGCCAATGGGGCACCAATCCACAAACTGGATGGTACATTTGGTCTTAATGGTGGCAATGGCAACATTGACATCTTTGGAAGCCATGTCACCACAGAACAGCAGTCAGCGAGCCATGTATTTACCACGGTGAGGGTCACATTTCACCATCTAGTTGGCTGGCTCAGAACAAGCATTGGTAATCTCTGCTAAAGAAAGTTGTTCATGGTAAGCTTTCTCAGCAGAGGTAACAGGGGCGTATGTGGCCAGAGGGAAGTGGATGCGAGGTTAGGGCATCAGATTGGTCTGGAATTCTATCAAATTGACATTCAGGGCCCCATCAAATATGAGGGAAGCAGTGATAGAGAACACAATTTGACCTACTAACCTATTCGGGTTAGAGTAGGTTGGGCGTTCAATATCAAGGTTTCTGCGGCAGATGTCATAGATGGCCTCGTTGTCTACCATGAAGGCACAAGCTGAGTGCTCCAGGGTGGTGTGGGTGGTGAGAATGGAGTTGTAGGGCTCGACCACAGGTGTGGAAACCTGAGGGGCTGGGTAAATGGAGAACTCCAGTTTGGAATTCTTGCCATAATCAACAGCAGGGATGCAAATCCAGATCTGGTTCCCCACCAAAGCTGTGGGAAACCAAGAAGCCCTAGAGACATGTGCACTTATCAGCCAGTTTTTCAATCCAGTCCAGAACCAAGTCAATGCTCTCTTTGCCAATGGTGTAGTGCCCACGGGCATAGTTGTTGGCAGCATCCTCCTTGTCTGTGATGAGGGCCTCAGGGTGGAAGAGCTGGTGGGAGGTGCCAGTGTGAACTTCATCAGTGACTGTGGGTTCCAGGTCCACAAACACCACCCTGGGGGACACGCTTGCCAGCACCAGTCTCAGTAAAAAAGGTGTTGAAGGAGTCATCTCCTCCCACCATGGTCTCATCACTTGGCATCCAGCTGGATGCCATGCTCCTGACAGTATAGCTCCCAGCAGGCATTGCCGATCTGGACACCAGCCTGGCCAATGTGGATGGAGGTGCACTCACGCATGGTTGCTGCTTCGTGGTTCCAAGGAGAAGGTGGAGAAGAAGAGGGAGGTTGTTGCTTCTTACAGCACGACTCAGGTGGTTGATGTAAGAGAACCTCACTCCATGGGATTTAATAATGGCTTTTGGCTGTGATCATCAGACCTTTCTTCCAAGGCACCTCTTCCATCTTTTTAGTTAGTGGCAGAGCATATGAACCATTTCACCACCCAAGGCCTCCCACGGATGTATATGTTTGCTAAAATTTACTAAACTAAAAAAAAAAAATTCAAACTATTCACTTCAAGTGTGTATATTATATGGAAATATTTCCTCAATAAAGTTGATTTTTTTT